AATCACCCATACAAAGTAAATATAAATTAAAGAATATCCAAAGTGTTGCTAGGGAGACAATTTTCAAACTTTTCTAAGGCATAGTTAGCAAAAACTTACATTCAAATGTAATGAGTTAAAAAGCCATTAAAATACTTTTTACTACTTATTTATTGACATTTTAACTCATTATTTTAACGCGACGATATCATTGGTGGCAAACTACTACTTAAATAAGTCATTACCGAATATAATAAATGGTAACGTGATAGAAGTAGTTATGACAAACTATAAAAATTAAAGCAAAAACAAGATGTTAGCAATTTCCAGAGGAATGGGGCTAAAATGGTTTTGTAGATCTAAGTACCAATCCCAATATTGAACCAAATTCGAATAAATAGTTTGATACTTTTTGGAAAATAAATGTTCTTAAGCAAATGAATGCAAATTTTTATCGTTTGAGTTTAATAAGTGATAATCTATAAGAGGAGACTCTTTGCTACATTGTGTTCTTCAATTGTCAGTTTTGCTATATGTAATATGAACCCAAAATAAATAGATAAGGTCCTTATTGAATGAGATTCCGCAAGAGAGAACTTTTCGATATTTTTTCGTTCCTCAAATTTTAACAGGGCACATTTTGATTATTCAAATAGTACTATTTGAATTACCTTAATCGTAGAACCGAAAGGTATATTTTCCTCCTTCAAATTAGATTCTATAAAAAAGAACCTTTTGGTACTTTTTAGTCCCTCAATTTTAACATATAGGGATCTAAGTGAATGAAAGTCTACAAAAAGGACCTACTTGGTACTTTTTACACCCTACACCACTTCAGTAGGTTTGTGCTGATGTTTGTAACGCACAATAATATTGGTCCTATACCCACCCAAATCGGCTTAGAATCATTTTCTTGTTCGATTTATCTATGTCCGGCCGTCTGTCCGCCCGTCCAGGTAAACCTTGTAATCAAACTACAGGTCGAAATTTTAAATATAATTCAAAGAAATTGTACCCGAGACGAAGCCTATTGAAAATGGTTAACATCGGTCCATTGTTTCACCTAGCCCCCATATAACTGAATCCTCCGATTAGGTCTCTTGAGTTCATAATTATGTTTAAGATACTCGTATCTCGACAAAAAGCTGCAAAACCAATTTCTATACTAGTGTTGATGACCCTAATGACGTTTATAAAGATAGGGCCTTATTTGACCCTAGCCCTTATACAAATGGCTTAAGTATGTCTTAGGCAAGATACAATTCAACTTAAATACTTTATTATGAAAACTAAATCACATTTTATTTTTATAACTGGTGTAGGGTATTATATGGTCAGCCTCGCCCAACTAGAATTTTTAACTTGTTCTTTCTTCATATTAAATTTAATAGAATAATGAACATAGAAACATATAATTTTTGATTAAATAAAAATCTATAAGTGGTCCTCTAAGATGTTTTCTCAAATGAAATATTGAAAAAGAAACATTATGAAACATCTAATAAATTACAATTTTCTATAATAATACCTAATCTTACTTTGTATTTAATTTTTATTAGAGTAGCGAAGCACCTTATTCTTTAAGTGATTTTGTTATAACAAAAAATTACCCACTTTTTAAAGAAATATTTATAAATAATACTCATGTATAGCCAGCCATTTCTTAGAATCTGAGGATTTCCTAAATTTAACTAGTGAAAATAATATTGCTATATTTTATGTAGTTTCTTTTATCTTGTAATTATGAAGTCCTCAAGGTCACATTAAATTGTTAAGAATACACATCAATGATTTTTGTGGTTCTCTTACATTTTTATTTATGGTTTTTGGTAAATATTTTATAAAGGATGCTTAAATTAACTTTATACACATTGTTAAAGCCCAACAATAAATTGGTAGTAAATTGTTTTTTTAAAATACTATATATTTTCCACATTACATGGAAGTATACATCCATATAATGTGATGATCATATAGTTATGTAAAGTCCTAAGTTCCAGCTTCCATTTTTGTCCCAACAATCTCAATAGTTAATATAAATATAATTCTTATTTGATTTATATTATATTACGCTTAACTTTCGCCACCTTAATATATTTTAAAATAAAAAAAATATTTTTGAAGAAGCATAATTTTTTAATGCTGTTTGCTAGACATATTTCATTTACTTTGTAGTGAAATCTTTTGCTGGGAACATTTAGTTTATGCAAAGTTTGGCACATTTGTTAAAAAAAAACTTAAATATAATTTGTTACTGTTTGTGTTTTTAATGTTGTATAAATGTCAGTAAAATTACAAAGTTACAAAATTACAATGTCACTTAAATAAATATATTTAAAAAATACATTTTATAAACATAATTCACATTAAAATTTAAATATTTTTAAAATAAAATTTATTTATTTACTTACATATAAGGATTGTTTGCTTACTTGTATATGCATATAAAATTAATTTTTAATAATTTGTTTATAACTTCTTACATATGTGTAAAGAAAAAAACAAAATTTTTACATCTGAAAAGTGAAGTAATAGCTATTTAAACTCTTTGGACAATTTTTGCTAGGACCAATGGGTGAAAAGTTTCACTCATTTGACCCTGTATATGTCCACCTTTGACCTCCTCTAACTCTGGCAGTTATGGCCTATTTTCCAATAGTACTAACCTTGATGCAAATTTCATCTAAGTCGACTTTTTGAGTTGGGTTCCCCCCGAGGACATGTAACCTTGGTAAAATCTCCATACCTCTAGTCTGTCGGGACTATAAACCGGAGATGATCAAATGTATCCTCGGCCTTTCCTTGGAATGATTTAATATGGGGTCGAACCAGAACATCAGATAATAATAATCAGATACTACGGGTGGCCCACAGAATTTTGTCCTGGCTAGTCAGTTGGTTGAGGTTCCTTCGAAATCCACGTAGCGGCTGTAGTTTATACCTAAATTCGCGGGGAGAGAATAGTTGTTTAGGGACTGATATATCTAAATGCCATATAAGTCTGGATTCTCTGTCCGGTGCTGTTGCCATCTCAATAGATTGTAACGTAACAGAGCAACTTATGTTTTATTTCTGAACCCATTGAGTATCTCTTACTCTTCGCATAGTAGGACGCCAGTATGGGAAATTTTCAGGCAGACACTTGGTAGTTGCCTGTCATTCCGTATATCGTTATTTATAATCTGAGAATTAAACTGATGTAAGTTGATGAAATATCGGGAAAGACGGCTTACGGCAGGAGTCTAGTAATGATTTAGTATACCTTTTACTTGAGGGAAGTTCTCGGTGCTGTTGCGACTTATGCGACTTATGGTTGAGACCCACCACTCAACTCGGAGCAATTATTGGGTTCGATTTGACTTAAAAATTAATTTCGAACTAGCAAATACGTCTATAGGTGCTGTTACAAAAGCAACCTTGTGAAGTGGTTGTGCGATTAAGGGACGAGAAATCTGCCTGAGCGGATGGAGTGATACGGCGTCGCTCATGACAACGCTTATACCTGATGGTACATCTCGGTGTTATATTGTGATTATGGATTTATCGGGTACGTCTGTTGGGGTTTCGTTACCCTCTTTTCTGATTCGACCGGCACTTCTCCGTTGAGGTTCCTTCGGGATCCACGTAGCGGCTGTGATTTATAACCAAATTCATATTCATAGATACATATTGTTACATGCTACGCGACTTATGGTTGAGGCCCACCACTCAACTTCTCGGGGCAATTATTGTGTTCGATTTGACTTTGGAAATTCCCACATCCTTTGTTACATTTCTCAACAGAGGGATTCTGATTTATTGGCTGGGTATTTCGAACTACCAAACACGTCTCTAGATGTTGTTGCCGAAGCAACAGAGCCTTGTGAAGTGGTTGTGCGATTGAGGGACGAGAAATCTGCCTGAGCGGATCGTTAAGGGATGGGGTTGATACGGCGTAGCTCATGATAAGGCGGGTATAAGCCTATCTCTATCTATGGTCTATCTCGGTGTCACATTGAGATTATGGATTTATCGGTTGCGTCTGTTGGCGTTTCGTATTGTTGCTACCTGTCATACAATAACGTGATCACTTGGCAAGGGATTGGAAAGCTCGAATACTTCGGCAAAGTGCTTGTACAAAAATTGCCACCTGAGTGTTCTTCATCAAGGTCACTCGGGGGCGCGTGGTAGACTGTTCTCAAGTCTATCCAGCGGAAGAAAAAGACCACCGTAAAATAAGTCCGTCAGGTGCCAGGTGGTCACGTTAAGCACTTACAAATTCTTTTTGAGTTGGGTCACAGTACTCATGGTTTGAGAGGTATTTCTAGAAAAAAAGTGGTCAACTGGACATACATATATCTAGGACAAAGTTAAGCATCCAATTAAATACTACTTGTCCCCGTACATGTAAAATGTTATATCCATTGAATTATCCGATACCAAAATATTCGATTCGGCTTCACTGTAAAATGTAGGACTAGGATGAATAAGTTAAGAAACTTAATGGAGCTACAATATAGCTACATATTTGATTAAATTTAGTTTCATTGTACTTTAACTGACAGCAATGGCACTTGCGCATAAGCGAATCATATTAAATTCTTGCAAACACCGACTAAAATACCGGTAAATCGTATATTTTAAATTAACAAAATTTTTGGTAACTGTTTTCAATAAGTTATAGATTTTTTAAAATATACTTCCATCAAACCAACATAAAAATAATTTACGATGTTTTAGATTCCACCACTGTATTCATTATTACCCATTACGAAAGTAGTACGTACAAACGTAATAGCAAAATTACTACTACTACTATTATTCAATGCTATCTAGCAAAATGAAAAATATTTCTGAATAAAAAAAAAAATTATACAACAAAATCATGGTGACCAGTAAATGGAATTTTTATTCTTTTTTTTTACTTTACAAAAAAAGCTTTACAAACAGAAACCCTTTTCAAACTTTTAAATTCCATGAAAAAAAGAAATTTAATATTATACTTAGTAAATAAATAGAAAAAAAAGTAAAGTCACACTTACAGTTCTGGCATCAGTTTTTTTTTTTTTTTTTTGTTTTTGAAATTTCTTTTATTTGTTTGTTGGTTTGTTTTACTATTTATTCATTAGTTTTTGTAGGGAAATCATTAAAGTGGGTGTGAATGTCAAAATGTTGTTGTATCAGTAAGTGTGTGAAAGTGTTTGTAAAAAAAATAGTTGTTTTCACTTAAATATTCTCTGGTATTTGTTACCAAATGACCGCAATTTCTATTTACTTCGAACATTTATTTCACATACAGATTTTTTAATTGAATTTTCTATCAAATATAACAATTTTATTTGCTTTTTCCACTTATATTTAATATTTTGGAAAATTATCTTTTATTTTTAATAAAAATTATTTATTTTTATTTTATGTATATATTTGCTTTAGTTGTTATTATTGTTATTTATTTTTTTTTTATTACATCTATATAAGTATGTGTTAATAAATGTATGTGTGTTTTTTAATGTAAGTGTATATATACTTATGTATATGTATAAAATAAAACACGCGTATATCCGGTCGGTATCATGTAATTTTTATATGTATTGTACTTCAACGGTTCTTATTATATACTGAATATTATTGCATAGTTTACGGAGACTTTAAAGCTTTTGCTATGTTTTTCTTGTTGTTTGTTTTTTATCTTATCATTACTTACTGTCAGTGGTGAATTTGCTCCAAAAGCATTCTCTTTTTATTGGAGAGGTGAATGAGAATAACGATGAATTAAGAGAGTTGTATTTAGTATACCCTTCACCTTATTGGGAAGGGAATATATAGGTTTGTCATTCCATTTGGAATTTATAAAATTTCCTTATGTAGTATACATATGTTCTGTATCCTTATAGATAGCGGAGTCGATTAAGCTACGTCCGTCCGTCTGGCTGTCTGCCCATCTATCCGTCTATATAATCAGAAAACATGCTGATTTGATCAAAATTCCGAAACAACCCATGAAAATATTGTCAAAAGCAACCAATTTTTGTTATTATATGTAAAATTAAAAAATAGAAAAAAAATAAAATCTAAAAAGGTTACAAAATTTAAAAAAATCAAAAGAATCGAAAATTAAAAAAAAAAAACTTTTATTTTTTTTTTTGTAATGCAGGGTATATATTATTCGTCACAGCCGAATACAGTTCTCCTACTTGTTTTTGTTATATTTGTTTGTTGGCTGAAGTGAAACAATTTTAATTTTAAATATTTACTATTAGAAATGCTTTTAATTTCAAACTTACGGCACAATGGGCTTTGTTTGGAAACTAAGTTATGTGCTGGAAAGATTTCGGCCGGGTATAGGCGTTTTATAGGAGTTTTAAACTCTGGCGTATTTCGAATACAGTCTTCGCTAAGTTTTTTTGATAAATGGACTCTTTGGACTTTATGTCATTTTGCTCATAGACATTGTGACACTTATAGTTAGCGGAGTCAATGTCCGTCTTCCTATCTGTCTGCATGCCTATCTGTCTGTCCATGGACACTATGACTTAATTAATTGTGTCATAACGTCCATGGACATTATATCACTGGACATTAAGATACGCCACCGTTTTCTTCATATATTTGGATTAGTTTTGAATCAGTCCTAGTACTTTCAGGAGTACTCTTTATACACGTGTACGGAGTAGTCGTGTGACCTGACAAGGTTATACAATGCATAAGACTGACAATGTGGCTGCGTCACAAGTCCATGATCGTATATATTTTATATGTTGACATGAAGGATATAAACTTGGATATCAGGACCAGGAAATTTGAAAAAAGGCAAAACCGTCTGATGCTTTTCTAGAAGAATGAGCCGTCTGAATCCCAATTTGACTCCATTACATCTGGGATTTAAGATATCGTGTCCTGAGACGTTATAAGAGCGCCAAGACAACTTTAATCATAAAACGTTGTGTGCCATCTGTAAGTCCATTATATCAAAAGGCTTAATATTAGACATATCATTCTTCTTTTTCGAGATATCTTCACCTAAAGCTTGAAAACTCATGGTTTTCGGTATATTCATGGTATTTATACCCTACACTATTGCAGTGTTGATGGTATTATGCTTCGTAAATATTGTTTATAAGGAACAAAATTACTGGATCCAAACCTATCAGAGGTTGTTCTTATCGACTCATAATCACTTTTTGGTTCGATTTAACGATGTCTGTCCATCCATCAACTCCAATGGATGATTTCTCAGCAATTACAGCAGATCTTTAAAGAATTCAAAAAGTATTTTTATATGAACAAGCTTTAGGTCAGAAGCCTTTATTTTAAAGTTCACAGCATGGACTTACAGCTGGCATACTTCATTTTATAAATAAAGTTGTTTGCCGCTGTTAAAACGTAAATTGAAAAACTTTCCCATTGTACTTTAGTTAATAACATTGTTTGTTCACGTATGACATGTCGTTAACGATTAACTTTAGTTGTTGATAGTAAATTCTCTATTGCTTTGAAGTATTTCTTTTGTTTTTCATTTCGATATTCTTAAGCATTTTTAAAGTTCTTTTGAAGTTTAAATCCGCTTAAAACCAAACTATAGGTGTTGTAATATATAAATATTTCATCAACAATATTCAGTTACTACTTCCTCTACAATAAAATTTACCTTGTATTACATTATTGATTTGATGATAACTCTCTTTGATTTGTGTAAACTGAGACAATGTCCATTTCTATGGAATGAAATGCTTATAAGGAAAATGGTTTATATATTGGCAGCAAAAATTAGCTATATTCAAAGAACTGCAATCAAACTAAGCAAACAACAACAGCTATAGTTCTTTTCTATTATAATAAGACACCATCAAAAAATATACATATTTTTTAAATACCATTTTAATGTGCAAAGTAATGACAAACTATTTAAAATATTTTGCAAATATTTAGTAAATATTTTTTATGAATGCTGAGAAAATATGCTTTAGATTTTAAATGAAATAATTGAAAAATATTCCACTAAGTGCTTTCTATCCCACTTTTGCTGTTTGGTTGAAGTATTAAAAAAGTTGATATTTTATAAATATTCACTTATTTTTTGGGAAAAAGTAGGTGTTGTAAAATATTTAAAAAAACATTTTCTGGTTTGTATGAGCAGCGCTCGTAAATATGTCTGCATATAATACACGTTTTCGTTTTCTTAGAAACATTTTGAAGAATTTTTCGTAGAAAATTGTGATACATATACATTAGGGTGACCCCTTTTGTATGGAGAAAAAGTTGGGTAATGATGTTTCTTTATTAATTTTTTAGATTTCAGTTCATTACATTAAAGAAATTTATGGAAATATTTAAAAAAATTTAAATTTTTGTGAAAAAATTAGAAAATTTTTCATATTTTTGAACTGATGATAAGCCATTAAAACCGCCACTCAAAAACTTTTCACATGATATTAATATTTCTCATCATTCCTTTAAGTGAAACATGAAAAAACTTAAAAGAGGACATTTATAAGCTTTGACCCAGTCGATTCAAAATTGACCCCAGAACAAAAATTTTAATAAACGGTACCTTAGAATGAATCAAATTTTCATTTTCGGTGAAAAATCTTTATTTCTCCATACAAACGGAGCTAGCTTAATATATGTATACATGGTAACTTCTATTTTATTTAATAATAATAAAAGAGCAAAAATTATAAAACGAAACTTTTGCTGATTTCAAGACAAATTCAATAAAGACTATTTATGCTTAATTGAATTCTTATTTCATTAACAATTTGATTGATATAGGTGTAAATTTTTTCACCTATTTATAATATAACCCACGTTAAAAAAAAAAAAAAAAAAAAAAAAAAAACCTTTTTAAATATTTCAGAAAAAAATTTACAGTTTTAAATATTAACTTTAATCAATTTATTTGACCTTTATAAAACCTATAGACTGGAAGAACAAAAATGTAAAAGAGGATATTTTATGCTGACATTAATAAATAACTCACTTAAATTGAATTGATATTTTAAATTGTTCAAATAAAAGAACAAAAAAATATCTTTCTATCATACGCCTTGACTTGTTTACTCAATTTATTAATAAAAAAAACTCGAATATCAAACAACGTAAAAGTTAAACAAAATTGTAAAAAAACAGATTTCCAATTATTGCCGAGAGCTATACTAGGAACACCAAATACATTTTTTTACTTTTAATTTAGGAGTAAATTTGTTTTCCCGAGAAGGAAAAATTTAAAAAAAATTTATTATTATTTTCTCACTTGTAGCTTTATTTAAGAATCTAAAGAAAATTTTACGTTTTCACTAAAATTTAAGTGATTTATCTAGATGTCTTTCATATAAAAATCCATTAAGTAAATGTAAGTGTGATGACAGGAATTAAGATAATTCTTAATTGGAGCTTTATTTGAGGATTTTAGCTTTTTTCTAGAAGATAGTAGATAGATTAGATAGACGATAGATAGATAGATAGATAGTAGATAGATAGATAGGGATAGATAGATAGATAGATAGATAGATAGATAGATAGATAGATTAGAAGATAGATAGCTAGATAGATCGATAGATGATAGATAGATTAGATATATAGATAGATAGATAGATAGATAGATAGATAGATATTAGATAGATAGATAGATAGTAGATAGTAGATCGATGATAGATAGATAGATAGATAGATTAGATAGATAGATAGATAGATAGATAGATTAGATAGATAGATAGAATATAGATAGGATAGAATAGATAGATAGATAGATAGATAGATAGATAGATAGATAGATAGGATAGATAGATAGATAGATAGATAGATCGATAGATAGATAGATAGATAGATAGAAGATAGATAGATAGATAGATAGATAGATAGATAGAAGATAGATAGATAGATAGATAGATAGATAGATAGATAGATAGATAGATAGATAGATAGATAGATAGATAGATAGATAGATAGATAGATAGATAGATAGATAGAAGATAGATAGATAGATAGATAGATAGATAGATAGTAGATAGATAGATAGATAGATAGATAGATAGATAGATAGATAGATAGATAGATAGATAGATTAGATAGATAGATAGATAGATAGATAGATAGATAGATAGATTAGATAGATAGATAGATAGATAGATAGATAGATAGATAGATAGATAGATAGATAGATAGATAGATAGATAGATAGATAGATAGATAGATAGATAGATAGATAGATAGATAGATAGATAGATAGATAGATAGATAGATAGATAGATAGATAGATAGATAGATAGATAGATAGATAGATAGATAGATATAGATAGATAGATAGATAGATAGATAGATAGATAGATAGATAGATAGATAGATAGATAGATAGATAGTAATTAGTAATATAGTAATTGATAAATTTCAATTACAATTATAAGTAATTGTTATTGGTCAATTACATACTACAAGTACATTACTTTAATTGACAAAACTTCAATTGCAATTACAAGAAATTGTAACTGGTTATTGCTTATTACAAGTAATTGTAATTAATCATATAATGTGTTAATCATTACCACCAAGTCTGTTGCTTGTAGACATGTCTAATGGTCTCCGGTGTCATTCCGTGCTT